AATAAGCCCCCTCCCCCCCCCTCTCCCCGGGAGCCGCTGGCCTGTCCCCTCACCCCCAGAGAAACCCCAAGCACAGTCCCTTGATCAGAAGCTTCTCTCTTCAGTCACTGCTCTGTCCCCCTATTGCCCAGAGGACCCCAGGGCTGGCTGCAGCTTGGTTCCTCACCTCACCTCCTGTCCACAGACCCAGCCCAAAGGAATTTGCTACTCAGCTGCAACAAAATCTGTGTGGGGGATATCAAAAGTGTCTTTGAAGAGATGCTTTTCTTCAGAGCAGGTTGGGTCTGGGGAAGGAAGGGGAGGAAAGCTCAGGATTCCTCTGAGTAAGGGAGGCTGAGACAGGCTAGAACTCCTGGGGTGGTGGTGGTGGAGACACTGAGGCAGTGGCAGATATAGGGCAGGGCGAGCGGGGCGGCTGCCCCAGGCCCCGTGCTTCAATAGGCCCCGTGCACGCACTCCGCACACGCTATTTCTGGTCAGCTGCTGCCGAGGCACAAGCGCGAAACGCTACTTCTGGTCGGCTGCTGCCAAGGCGCATGCACGAAATTGTGCCGCCCTGGGCCCTGCAACGCTGCCCTGGGCCCCGCAAAATTATCATCCGCCCCTGCACTGAGGCCTTCTCCATGGGGAGTAGAGAGAGTTTGTGGCTTGACTGAGAGAGGAAGGTGGCGGGGATCTCGCAGCTCCAGCCATGTGGGGAGCGGGAGGGGGAGATCAGGAGCAAGTGGGAAAAAATGGAGACAGGGGCTAGCTTCCCCCCAGGTGGGCTCCCCTCATCTCCCCAACATCCATGCCTGCAGCCCACTGTAAGGGTTCCTGGATGCTGCTACCATGGCAGTGGCTGGGGCCTCTTAGACCTTTTAAATTGCCCCGATACCTGTGCAATTATCACCTTCTCCCTCTTCCTCCCCCTGCACCATCAGCAGACATGAATAGATGTGAAGAAAGGGAATGGCTGGGATATAGGTGCTTAAATAAAAATGACATTTTAAATTTTTTCAGTTAGCGCCAATTGCAAGCCCATACTAGATGCTCACACAAGTGTTATACTTCGAAGAAACGGAAAGAAAGGGCAGGCAGGAAGGCAACCCACTGACAGACAAACTTATCGTGTCTTAGTGTTTCTGCAAGTCTATCAGTCTGCAGTCCTCCATCCTGACAAAGAATAAAGTGCCATGGCTAGAAATTTTGCTCGTTATTCATTGCTGTTTTCTCACAATCTTCACATGCAACCCTACAACTTCAAGTCCTAACAGAAATGCTTTTTAACTTACATTGTAAAAATGTAATATCAAATCTAGTCAGTACAAAATTTTTCAGTTACATATATAGCAGAAGCTAGTAAACATCTTTTAACCTTTCAACAACTGGGACTTTGACATAACTCCACAAGAAACACATAGCCCACTGCCAATGGAAATTGTGATTTGTTCAGGACCTTTGCAAAACAGCTCCTAAAATACTTTCCGTAATTTCAGGAAATAGAGACTGTGGTGTCTGAGCTGCAAAAAATGTTGATTGGATTAAGTGGGTTTTACCCATGAAAGCTCATGATACTATCTATTTTTTTAACCCCAAGGGGCTTGACTACACTAGGAAATTATTCTGAAATAACTTATTTTTGAAATAATAGTTATTTTGGGAATTATTTTGAAATAGGTTTCCACACTATAGGGAAGCCTCAATTAGTCCAAGGGAGGCTCTCTAATGTGGATGCACTACTTCGACTTAGAGCCCCAGGAAACAATGGGGAGTAATTAATCTGAATGACTCTGGGGAGTAGTTATTTTGAAATAGCAGCTGTAGAGCATCCACACTACCACTATTTTGAAATAAGTATTTCAAAATAAGTATTATTCCTCAGAGAAAGCAGGAGTTATTATTTTGAAAAACCAGCCACTTATTTTGAAATAATGGGCTTGGTAATGTGGACACTCCACTTGTTATTTCAAAATAAAACAAGTTAAAGTTAGAGTAACATGGGCTATCCCTCTGAGACAGAAAAGAGGCATTCTGTGAAACAGGGATCATTTTGGACATTCCATTAAAGCTGGGAGCAGAGGGAATTAACAAACTAATCATTCTTTCCCCCTGCTTTTTCATGAAAATGCTTTTACCTACAACTGTTTCCATACATAATGATTTACTATGATTAATTGCCTATTTTTTCTTGGAATTATGAAATGTTCTTAATTCAATATTTAAGCAATTCTGAGACAACTTGTTCTTTTGCAGTTCACAATACTACTTAGGAAGCAAAAGAGCTCATTAAATTAATTCAAGAGAAGCCATTATAATTTTATTCCAGTTCTATCTTGAGCATGTGCTAATATATAAAAACAACATTAAATAAGCCATGGAAAATGCAATTCAAATATTAAATATTTAAAAACTGGCGCACACACAAATAGTTTATGCAGTTTGGAGACTTATGCCCTGCAGATGTTATGGCATTCAGAAAGCAGGAGACACCACTGGATTATGGCGGTGGTTGTTGGGAGGGATTATAGAATCCTTAAAATGTGTTCTTAGTTTCTGGACTGGGGTGTATGTCCCAAGCATTACATGGATTTCAGGAGAACCATGGGATTGTGGAGGGGAGTGACTGAGGGTAGATTTTGCGGAAAAAATAAGTTAAACAAAATACTCTAGGCTATTATATTGTGTTCCCTTTTACACTGTTCCATTTGTGCATGGTGGTAACAAACTGAACAGTTAGTCACGGAGGAATTTGCTTGGTTGGGGATTTCTTGGGAGGCAGAGGCATCACTGAACTCTGGCCATTTACAGACACCAGAATGACCCCTTAATACATTAGTCTATCCAGTATAAGTTGTGACAGCCCTAAGGCTTCACCAAAAATGAAACAGACCCACTGCCAGCCTCACAATATGCAAAGACATTACTTTTAAGCTGTTTTCCCTCCACTTGATTCCTATGCTGAACTGAGCTGATAGTTAAGCCCCCTGTGTCCAAAGAGGTAGAATTTCCTTCTTGTTACAAGGGAATAGTCCACTACAGGGAGGAGTTTGGCCTAAAAATTTAATTTAATACATTATTTTCAGAATTTTAAAGTAGAAAAATCATGTAAATAAAACAGAGAAAAAGCTAAACTTTGCTTAATAAAAGATGAAAAGGGAGCTAAACTGATTTATTTGCATATTTTCCTATCCCAGTACTAAAACTATTCACAACCTTTTCTTGTAACTTAAAAATGGCCAGTGCTATCACTGACAAAAAACAAAACAAAGCAAATAAAAAACCCACTGCCTGAATTTCATGATAAATGGCTTGGCAGATCATGAATTGAGAACATACTTTCCTGCTTGAATAAAAAATTTGAAAGCTGCTAGAATTGGAGTTACTCTCCTTTAACAATAGGTGATGTCATCTTCTGTAGTTCATAATACAATATAAATGATGTAGTAGCATGACTAGTATGTTATAAAAGAACTTCAGAAAAGTGGTGAAATTTGCAAATTATATGACCACATCAAAGGCAGTGAAACAGAAACAATTCTATTTAGTGTCTTCAGATGGCAATATGGTTGCCAGCCATTTGTGTTTTTACTATCTTTTGATGCCTGTATGTATTTTATACATCTCTATTTTCAGACTTTTCACTTTGCTGTGAATGGAGCAAATAGTATTATGTGGTGCTGTCTGGGTTAGTGCCCTTGATCATTAGGAAGCTCAAGTGACTCGGTTAATTAGAATTTACAAAGGTTTCTCCACTTCATAATGCCCTGTAATAATTGCTACCCAACCAATTAGAATACCTGTTAATGAGCAATCAGTCATTCTAATCAAGAAAATTCTGAGTTCTTTCAAGAAGAGTAATTAAATCTGCTGAAAGTGGAATTGGATTTGATTACTTATGCCTATTCTTCATACAGATAGTTGAGCAAATATTTGAGATTTAACTATTTTATTCATGCATCAGAGACTGACCAAGGACAAGAAATGTGCCCACTTGATATGGGATTTGAAATAGGTCTATTCGTGTACGGAAAATTACAAAGTTTACATGATTAGGAATTTAGCAGAATTCCTTTCACCTATCTTAAAAAAGAAATCTTCAAATACCTAATCATCACTCCATTTGGAAGCTATTTTGTACACATGACACAAATGTGTCTCATTTATTTTCCTTCCATTTATTCTGGAATACACACTACACAGTCCTAAAGCCTTTCCATGTTTTTCTCCCTGTCTCTTAACTTTCCCCATTAAAGTTATACATTACTTTGCTGACATATTTCCCCTCTTAACAACTGTAGCACTACAATCAGACTCCAGATCTTCCAGCTGTTCTTACAATCACTAATCAAAGCACAACTGTGGACGTAATGCTTGTAATTTAATCTGCTGCCAGTTTCCATCCTTGGTTTGTGACAATGATTTCTAAGATAAGGTGCTGGTGGCATACTCTGATGGATATCCATATCACAAATCTCCATCACAGGACTGGGATGAAAGCTCAATCTGCTGTCAAAAGGTGTGCTTAGAAGTGCTCCTCAATTTAGGGATTTAAAATGATCTCTTGAACCCCAGTGAATTCTGCTGATGGCAATACAGTAGCCCTAGTTTAAACAGTTTTGTAAAAATAGAGGATACAAAACACTGAAAGCAGTAAAATAAAACATAACCATTATAATCTACTTTACAAGGATAAATGTTTACTCTCAGCCAAAATCACCAAGGGATACCAGCTACCTAACAGTTAAAAAAAAATCCTCCTTTCCAGCGAAACAGAGCACATTTCAGAGAAAGCTATTTAAATTGTACAACACATAATGCAGCCGCCAAGCACTTGTAAAGGTGGGAATGTACCTTAATAGGAATGCTTTAATAGCCTGATCCGGCAAAACTGCTTGTCCACCTAAAAAGACAGAAACCATGGTTGTTACCATTAAAGAGAAATCAAGAAACTATTTCATAACTCTGATGGAGTCAGAGTTTGGAAAGATTAACACAGAGATTGCTTCAGATTAGCTTTGAACAAAGATATGGCTAGTGAGCTAAATTTGGGTAAATCTCTTGTATATGCTGCATGTGGCTCATTTTTTGTAAGTCATAATAACCAAATGATTCCTCCTGGTTTAAGTGAGAGCACTTGTGTAAGAAAGTGCCTGCTTAATGTGTGCAAGGACTGAAGGAAAGTAGGCCTCTATGATGCAAAATGTTAGGATAGGTCTTCAAGATGCCTTTGAAATGAAAGATGTTGGAGATGAACATTATTGAAATACTAATTACACACGTTGTGCATTCTCAGTACCACTTTGTCAATATTCACCTAAAGTCTTAGTAAGAGAATATGACATACCGAAACATTAATTGCTTCTATAGTATATTACACAAAGTACTTTGTATGAGATGATATCATGTTGTGGCTGTACATGCTTGTTATGTTTTGATTTGAAGTAAAGTGAGTTAAATAGGCTTCTCTGTGCAATTACTTAGAGTGTGTGGAATGCTTCATGTACATTATACTACACAGACAATTGTTACCTTGCTATGTATCACTGGTATATTGAGCACCTGACTTGCATCTTTTTTAGATAACTGGCAGGGATCATTTCATATTGAGAGAAACAGGTGCAGAAAAATCATGATCTATCAAATTGCTTCATACAGAACAGATCTGAGACTCAGTGTTCCTAAGATTCTCCCCTTCCTTTCTAGAACCATTCATCACTGTAACCATTCATGTCACTGAATGGGGCTGTTAGAGTTGGATGAAGCTTCTCTTCCTAGGGAGAAGAGTGGGAAAGTCACACTAGAGAGACACATGGAAACCCTGCTTTCAGAGAGTGAGGCTTCTTCTTTACTTGCAGGTTGTGCTGAACCAGAAATCAAACCCAGGTCTTGTTTATTACAGAGCAAACTAACAGTGAATGGCCAATCCAGCCACAAGGCAGCATCAGATCAGTGACCATCACCACTTACTGAATAAAGACACAGAGACTGAATGAGTCAGATTGTTCAGATCCCATATTCTGAAGGGACTCCCAATTTTTTATTCCAGAATGAAGCCTCCCCAGTAATACACCATCTCTGGGGGTGGGAGGTGGGGACCAGGACAGTCCCACTCCACCTCAATTCCCACCCTCTCCCCTTCTCCTCCTGCCCATGCTCTGCACCTGTCCCCACTCCATCTCTTTCAACAAGCCCTGCTTCTACTTCATTTCCTCCTGGCCCCCCTCTATCTCCTCCCGCCACTATTGCACCTCTTCCCCCAATTCCTTTTCCCCGAGCAACATGAGCCAAGAAATTACTGGGGGGAGGCTGGGTTGGCAGCAGGGATCCTCTCCTGCACTCACCACAGCAGGGGAAAACAGAGTAACTTGGTCCCAGCCTGCAGTGCTCCTCAAACCTGGCTCTCAGCCACATAGCTCAGGGAAGAGAAGTAGGTTGGGTTGTAGGTACTCTGCTTTGTAGTGATGCAGTGAAGTGGAGCAAACCATCTGGGAGATGGTGGGGTGGAGTAGAGCAGGGTAGGGCTGTGCCATTCTGCTTCCCATGGCTACCACTGCCAGCCCTTCCTGCCCCTCACCATGGTACCTGGAGGAAACTACCCAGAAACATTCTATATGACCACTCTGCATGGAGGAGATTTGGGGTAACAAATTCCAAATCTCAACAATTTTTGAGACAAGTATTTTTAAACTGGAAGAAACTCTCCAAACCTATTGGGGCTGCAAAACTAGGCAAGAATCAATTGAGAACATCCAATCTACTTCTGGTTTGGCCAGGTACTTCCCCTTCCCGCTCATGTCTGATCTGGCAATAAGAAGGAATACAATTGTTTATGTTGGAAGGGGCAAACAAGTCACTTTAATCATACTTTAAAAATTTTATTTTGGGTGCAGGCAGTGTCTGAATGAGCACTTTCCTTACATCAAATGAAGAAATGGAAAAATAATGGTATATTTTGTGAACGGCTGCTTACATGTTACAGGATTGGTGCAAAACAACTAATACTAATCCTCTACCTTCTAGGAACAGGGATAGTTAAGACATTTATTGTTGGCTGATGGAATCCACTGTCCAGATGGCTCCAGATGTGTGAGAAACTGCAGAATGTTTACGAGAGTGTTGGTATCTTTACCACACATTACAGCATGTGAAAGCTCGCACCCCTGGAAACCAGTCCCCACCCTACTTCAGATGCAAAGTTGTTAGAGAATATGTCAACTGTTTTAGCTAATTAAGGAAGTACCCTACTGGGTTTGTTGGGCCTTGACCCAACATGCCCAAGCTTGGGAGCTGCAATTTCATCTAAGGTATGAGCAAAGGCACAGAGGCATACATTAGAAGAGTTTGTTCTGTCCCATCTTAAGTCAAACTCCTATCTTAAGTTAAGGTTATTTACTAGACCCTATTGGGCCTGGGTAAGTGGCATTATTGGATTGGAACATACCACTGAAATGTTGCAGGAGTCAACAGTATCAGAAGCAGAAAAGTGAGGGTGTCTTGCAGGCAGCCTGAGGTATTTAGCATTAGATTTGATTCTCATTTTGAAACTCAGTAACCTTGGTATAAGTGTGAAGATCTGCCTTGAAGCCCTCAGTCACACCTTTGGGAACATAGAGAGCCCTGAGAACATTATTATAAGCTCTTCAGTGCTCAGCAGCGAAAAGGTGAGAAAGTTTCAATTTATATAGAGAGGCTGGAAAAACTAGTACATAGAGCTGAAAAGAGGGGAGCATTTCTGTGCTGTGGTGCCTGCAATATCTGAGAGAGAAGTGCTTGTCACAAGTACCTGCCTAAAGATGGTACAAGGACATTAGGAATGGGAGAACAGGTGGCAGAATGGGGGCTCCCTGATGGAGTGCTGATCATAATCTTCCCTGCCTATAATATTGCTAATGAAACAAACTGTGATATGGTGGTGAAACAAGGGCAGAAGATAGCAGACTTCTTTGAGCCCAAAACCACTGTCAAACTCCAGTGTGAAGTCAAGGATTCACCAATAGACCCTGCAAAGTTCGACTTAGGGTTAAAATATTGTCTGAGGAGTAGAAGGTTCACCTAAGGGAGAAACTTGGTTAAAGATCTGAGGTATTCTCACTGCATGAACAGGATGTATGACAGGAACAGAACACGTCATAAGAATACAAGACTCACAACTCATCAAGGAGAAATCTAAAACATTTGCTGTCTCTCAACAGGAAATGCATCATCATCTTCAGTATCTGATTGTAAATAGCATCATTGTGGAATGCTGTAGCCTATACTCCTCCTCCATAATTGTAATCTGTAAAAGGAGTGGGAAAAATCCACATGTGTATTAGCCACTGAATCCTAAACAGACACACATTAGTTGACCAGTAAACGATGGCATGAGTACATGATGCATGGGATATTTTCTGGGGAGCCAGTGGTTCTCAGTGTTGGATCACCGATGTGGATACTATAGCTCCCTCTGTGAGAAGATAAGGAGAACACAGCATTCTTCTGTCCTTGATATTTCCACATGTACAAGGAGTTTGAACACGTGCCCAAGAAATTTCTGAAATGCTTGTCACATTTCCTCATCTTATGGAGAAAGTTATGGGAAACGTGAACTTACTGAAATTCTTATTTTTGTTGGTTTTGGGAAAATCTTGGAAAAACATAAAGATTTTTTAAAGTGACTTGGTTGGAATTCTATAGACTGGAGTTTTCAAGTGATAAATGCTAGTTTTACAGAACAGTCAAATATGTGGGCTGAAGAGAGTCTGAGTACTGATCCAGATAAAATAGAAGGACTTGTTACATGTCCATACGTACATAATTACAGAGACTCAAGACTTTTCTAGGATTTAACAACTGTTATTGCTAGGCTTGTGAAGAATTATGTTACTATACTAAAGCTACTAAATAATGTCACAGTGGATGCCAGTTCAGTGATAGCAAATCTAACATGAAGGGTAATGGAAGGTTCCAAATCCTCTCAAATAGACACTATGGCCCCTTAGAGCCCTTGGGACTCTGATGGGATGGAGGAAGAAATATGGAAATTTTTTCAAGTAATTATTAATTGCCCAATTAAAGCTTTAGTCCTTGTCTTTCCTGACCTGAGCATACTTTTTATCCTATATATTGATGTCAGTTTGCATGATTTGGGAGCAGTCTTATATTAGGAAGCTGAAGGAAAATGAAATCCTGTGGCCTTTGCCTGCTGCTGACTATCTGATTATCTGAGATTCACTACTCCATTCGCAAGCTGGAGTTCTGGTCTTGAAGGAAAAAGTACAGGTGGAAGGCAATCTAAGTGCTCCAGAACCTCCAGTACTAGAACTGGAGATGCAATGACCTTTGACAGAGTCCAAGGAACCCTCAAGGGGACTCTTGTCTCTCTAGCCCAAGAAAAAGTCTTCATACTCCTGCAATGCCTACTCTCAATAGGAGTGACAGGGTTGTAAGTCTACTAAATCAGTTAATTTAGAATTCACTTGGGGTTATTAGTGCAGAACCAATATACTTAGCTCATAGGTTTCTGGCACCAATCGTAGGTTTCCTATGACATTTTGGAGACAAGTACTGGACCTGTTGTAATGGGGTATGAGATTTGCCCAAATGACACACTGACTGAGATGAATATCAGTAGGCCCTGAATTAGCTCTTCCCTGACAATTAGTATTCAACTGGGGGAAAAGACTTCAGGTGCAGACAATATTTGCCTAAATTCACCTACTTGCCTAAGTGTTCAACAAACTAAAGTGTCTTACCAAAATGATCAGTGCTGGCTAGGTTTTGGTTATAATTGACTTTAGTATTGAGTATGGGGTAGTGAGCTGTTGTTATCCTTATTGTACAAGTAAATGGTAGTAGAAATGTACTTAGCATACCCTGATTGAGAGAATCAATCACCCATAATTGAATGCCATTTGCTAA